CGCACACGCGTGCCACAGCGTTGCCTACTCCCCAGGCGCGAAGGCCCACCCGCCATCACAGGGTAGTGTAGGCAAGCCCGTCGCACACGCGTGCCTCAGCGTTGCCTACTCCACAGGCGCGCAGGCCAGTGGCTCCTCCTGCACCCACCCCAGCACCGACACCACCAGCCCCGTCACCATTCCCATCACCTCCGGCACCGCACAACACTCACATGACTTCCGGTCGGCGTGCTTCGTTCTCTTCCTCTCCCGGGGCACGGGGCGCGTCGAGGGCATCCTGGTGACGGTCTTGACGATGCTCTCGAAGATCTCGTCGTCGCCGTCCGTCAGGTTGTCGCCGTTGCCCGCGTCGTCTCGCAGCAGCGGGCTGAGCGGGCTGAGCACGGAGCGGCCTGCGCGAAAACAGACGCGGGTTCGAATCCCAGCAGGAGCAGGAGGCCGGCCGCCCGGTCCTGCTCGCGGTCCTTACCGGCGTCCTTCCGCTGGCGTCGGCCCCAGGGCATCGTGCCGTGGATGCTCTCCACGTCGCTGTCGCTGACCAGAATCTGTCTGAGCTCGGAGTCGGCGCGCACCTCTGCTTTGCTCTGGAACTTGCCCACCTGGGCGGGGAGCGAGGGGTCGAGTTAGCGACAAAGACAGGGGAACTCAACTACGGTGTGTCAGCGATGACCGTCTGAAATTTCCCTATTTTGGGGGAGCGACTATTGGAAAGGGCGAGGTTTGTGCACCCACCTCGGTGATCATCTTGCCGCGGGTCTTGTTCCTCTCGCGATGGTTGGCCTTCTTCTGCAGCTGCTCGCGCACCCGCTCGCGCGTCGTGCGGTACTCGAGCGCGAACTCGGACACGACGCGGCAGAACTCGTTGGGCTTGGTGTCGGGCACGCGCCCCAGCGGCACGCCCACCCACAGCAGGAAGCGGTGGAAGCGGTTCATGACGCGCCGGTGCACCACGCTCAGCACGATGATGCGCTCGGCGCAGTCCGCCAGGAAGTCGGACATCCTGGAGGAACAAACGGGCATCTTTTAACTGGGCTTCGAAACTTTGGGACGAGCTGTTTTCGCCAAAGACGAACCGCACTCACTTGACTTTGACCATGGTGGAGCCATCGTGTTTGGCCACGAGTTTCAGTCGGTCCCAGGAGGCCTTGCACTCGGTCTCCATGCGGACGATGTTCGCGGCCAGCTCGTCAAAGTCGACCTTGGACGCCCTCGTGACGGCGCCGATCTGCAAGAAAGAGGCATCATCGTCGGGCGTTGGTCGACACAGTCGCGACCCGCGCCCAACAGAGAGCACGGCGCACCAAACCCACCTCACTGTAGAGATCTGACGAGTCCGGGAACTTGTCCATGACCATGTGGCACAGGTGGTGCAGCAGCGAGTGCTTGTGCACAGTGTCCTTGACCTCCGGCACTTTGGCCAGGTACTCGATCTGGAAGCCCTTGACGTGGCTGCCGTTGAGGAAGATGCCGATCGACAGCAGCGTCTGCAGGATGCAGCGGAATGTCTTGTTGGAGCGCAGCGTCTCCATGCCCTGCTTCAGGTCCATCAGCGGTTCCGCGATTTCCTGTGGGGGGGTCCCAATCGGACGTATGAAATCTCGGAGAGAAATGCCATCGCCCACCAAAAGCTCTCTGGGCCATGGGCCTTCCAAGTTATGATTGATCTCGCAAGCGTACCTTCTCCATGTTCTCGTAGTCGAGTTTGAAGGCCCACAGCTTGAGGCGTGCGGGTAGCTCGGATATGGACGCCAGAGTGAGGAGGAACTGTTCCGCAGATCCGAGCGGCGTGTCCGGTGCGAGCGCCTGCGCTTCCTGGATGCGGGTCCGTTCGTCCTCCGTGGGCAGCATCGTCAGCAGTTTCTGCATTATAATTGAAAGTAGTGGGATATAATTTAGACCAACAGTGCAGCCGGTCCAGCAGTCTCCAGCCGGCCGTCGGGTCGCGCCGCCCTCACCTCGATGCCCTCCCGGTTCATGACGGTCGCGTCCATCTTGAGGATTGCCGTCTTGATGGACCGCGGCGGGGGAAGCTTCGTCATGCCGATGTTGATTGCGTTGGACCGTTTGTGGTCCAGGACGATGATCTCCTTGTTCTTGTTCAGTTCTTGTTGTTTCTACAGGCAGGGAAAAAAAATAGGTTTGATGGTGTGAGTCCATTTCCGAAATCACAATTTAGCCCTTGTTAAAATGGCAAGTTAATGAAGTACTTCACATTTAATTATAAAGTAAAAATAAAAGTTCTCTGAAACATTGTAAACTCGTTAATTAAAAATGTAAGTACTTATTGGGTGATGATGAAACCAGAGGAGGTCAAAGCATATATGGTCGACAATAAGAGGAGGACTCACCTCCTGAATGATGTAGCAGAAACACCAACACCAACCACACACCGCGCCAGGTGGAGGAAGAAAAATATACAGCAAATTAACTCAAGCCATTGCTACCAACACCACCGTCAACCCCCCGCAAGGATGTAACTTAGAGCTTGCACGTTAGTTATTGCCTAAAAGAAATAGGCACAGTTTTGTCAGTTAAATTGAAAAATAGGAAATTTGAACAAAAAAAAATGCTATACTTGACACAATAACAGTTTATGGGACGTGCAAGCTATAGGCCATCCATAATCCATTAAGAAAAAGCAACAGCCTCCCATAGCCCCATTCTATATACAAATAGTGAAATTGCTGATGAACAAGCAGAATATAGTTTAAATGAGACAATCATCTTTTACTGCAACACATACTAGTTACACATTAAATAAAATAGTGCAAATCAATAACTGACATGTACTTTGCAAGTATTATTTGTCAAGAAATATGTAATGGATATTATGTTTGGTGTTATCTTTGGAAAAAGAAAAAATATTTAGCCTTG